GGGGGGGGGGGGGGGGGTGTACTCATAGTCGTGCATGTCGTAGTCGTTTGACCATTGACCTCGCATCCCTACAAAGCCGGGACGGAGCACGCCGGGTTCTCACCGGACCAGGCTCTCACATCACCAAGCGCGAAGCGCCGTGAGGTATTTGGCGAGTCGCATGAAGGGTGAGCTGCATCCTGCTAAGGGTGTTCGGCATCTTGTGCTTACTTCCTTGCGTACGGATGACAGCTACGTATGACTTAATTTATTTTCTGGTGCTTTCACTTCCAGAGACAGTTGTAAGCACTGTGTAACTGCCTCGAGGAAGCTTGACCATTTTAACACAACGAGGTGCGATCATCCCCGTTGCGCGGAGTGAGGTTTCTCGACCCCGCACAACATGATCTACTCGACCACCATTATGGTTACCGCCAAAAAAAAAAACCCGAGGAAAAAAAAAAAAAACGGTAACCTGGTTGCCGAGTTCACGAAGCGAATTGGCTTGTTTTACAACGTCGTTGCCAAGCGACGAAAACCCAATCCCGATGGCAAACACCGAGTGGGGGGCTTGTTTTACAACGTCGTTGCCAAGCGACGAAAACCCAAACCCCGTTGGCAAACACCGGGGGGGTGGAGTATTTTCACCTGCGGGCCCCCCTCGCACATGGCGCACACACTCACGCCAGCCAGCGCACACGACAGCATCAGTAGCAGACATGGACGAATCGGACGACGAGGGGGTCATGGTCTAGACTTGTGTTGGCCTTCGGTACTAGTTTGCAAAGATTGAAGCAGCTGTTGATGGCTCGGGCTCAAGGGTGTTTGTTGTTGATCTTACTCGGGGGCAGTTTTGTGTTTTTGTTTCGGTCTGATGTAGCAAGACGCAGAGAGCTGCGGGCGGAGGGGAAGTGTCAAGGGGGTTCTCTTTTGTTTCAACTGGCGGAAGTTGTTTCGTTCCTTCTCTCTCTTTCTCTCTTTCTCTCCTTCCTGTCGTTGATACTTATTTGTCTTTTTTTTTTTCCACTTGCTGCGCGTTGTTGTGAGATCTATAGGAGGAACATTACGCACTAGCAGATGAGAAGACAAGCTTTTTTTTTTTTGTTTTTCTCGGGGCTTTCCTATATTCTCATGGGCGAGAAAAAAAAAATGTATTCATGACAACATTCCAATATTGCACCTGCATTGTAACGTGGTTCAAAGGTTCAAGGTAGGAAGCTGAAACGATACACACGACTGCGGCAGCAGTGGCAGCAACGCGCACAGAAGTGCACCTTGAACAGCATACAGCGAGCTGCTTCCAAACGAACAAAATATTGGACGTATACGTTAAATAACACCCCGGGGATGGGCCGTTTTCGTCCCCGCTATGAGCGGTTATAACCGGTACGTACCGCCGAAGGCTCATTTCCGGTTATTTCCGGTCAGTACCCTGCTCGAGCCCGGTTATCGACATCACTGGTTAAAAACCGTTCCGATCTCTCTCTACCCAGTACCTTCGTATGTCCGTACTGATCCAACACTCGACGCGGTCGATTCTCGTGGTCACAGGTTAACTTACCCTAAAAAGGTACACTCAAATAAACTGGCCCCGAGGGGTCCGCAAGTCAATAGAAATCAACGACAGATATTCTGGAGTCCTTCACTCCCTCTGCGCTCTATGCGAGGTATCAACTGAGACTAGGAGTCACTAGTACGTGCGAAGTTTTGTAGATGTACGTCGTGACCGGCAAAATTTAAATACAAAGAGGTTCTGTGCACTCTTGTAGAGGTGTGGGGAGACACACTCTCACCTTCTTGTTGCTGCCGTCTTCTGCCGAGGTCCCATCGCGAGGTACGACGGGCCGCGATCGAGTAGCGCCGCCGCGTCCCGACCTAGCTGCCCCGTCCTTCGAGGCTCCAGAGCCGGAAGCGGCCCGCCGCGCATTCGCGGCAGGCGCCTGCTGAGAAAGTCCACCGCTGGCTCCCCCGGTTCCATCTTCCTCAGCCTGCTCCAGACGGTCCACCAAACTTCTGGGGGGAGTCAGAGACCACGCGCCGGGGATTTCTTGCAAGCCCGGTTCAAACGAGAAGCGCGCCACCGACCCCACCTGCCCGGTTCGCCGGGGTGCCGGTTGGTGTTTCAGCACCCGAGGGGGCAGCACCCGCCGCCAGGTCGATCAAAACGCCAGCTGCTTCGGTGGCAACGTCGTCAGCTGATCCCGCCAGTAGTGCTTGCCTCCGCTGAAAGGCACGCATCACTGGCGCGGCGGGTTCGGGTTCTGAAAAACATTTATTTCGGTTCGGGACGCAGACTAATGCGGAACAGTTTTTTGAAATCGCGGTATCTCGTAACCTCGCTGTATACCCCGATTGACCTCGGGATTTTTGCTGTCGATGTGTATGAGCCGAGGGCATCACGTGCACGCTTCGCCAGTTGGTGCTTTAGTCCGGTAGATTCCTTTCTTTTGTTGCTGTGAAATTGCTGACGTATGAATCAGCAGGTATAGTACTGTACTACTGTATAGTGGTTAACCTCCAAATCGAACCCTTGAATCTTACCGCCGGCTGAAGTTAAAACTCATGGTTTATTTGTCTCACATTTTTGACATTTTTGCTTTTCTCTCGCGATTCCCTCCCGTCCCTTTGCTTCCATATTTTATAGCAAGTGTCCATCCTTCTGAACGCTATGTAGCGAGGTAGGCAACGCTACTCCGCCGATGAAATGGTTGAAATGGCCCACGAACGACAGCTCCTGCTGCGAGGTACCTGTAGGCCACGCTTCTCCGCCAATGGGTTGGTTGAAATGGCCCACGAAGTGTAGCTGCTGTAGCGAGGCAAGCTACGCTACTTCGGTGATGGACTGGTCGAAATAGAACCCGCAGACGAGATGCTGCAGGTCGGCCGGCTACACGACTCTGGCGATGGACTGGTTGAACTCCTCCCCGAACGACAGCTGCTGCATCGACGCAGGTAACGCTACTCCGGTGATCGATTGGTTGAAATAGCCCACGAACTACGGTGCTGTAGCGAGGCAGACGACGCTACTTGGGTGATGGCATTTTGGCCCTCATATTATCCGTTCCAATCAATCGACCGCGGTGGCAATGTTTTGCGTTAGAAACGGTTTGTCGGTGGATCACCAAGCAGCAAGTCAAGGCTGATTCGCCGAATTCGTGTCCTATCATGACTCGCACTGATGGTGGTGTCAATGCTTCGCTCGGTGAGCTCAGTACAGAGGGGGTAGGGGGGCAGGCTTCCGGGGAGAAGATAGATTCGCTGAGGGGCATTCAGGAAGTCGGTCTTTCGGGTTTCTTTGCATTCAAAGATTTCAATCCCGGCAAACCAAAGGCGTATGCAGGTCGTGACGGGGGGTTGAAGGCGGTTGAGATGGATGAGGAAGCAACAGCTCTTTCTTGCTAAAAAGCTGCGAATAGCTCACATGGCAGCTGAGCTTAGGAATACCTACGATTGCCGAGAAGGTTGTCGAGAAGGATGTCGAGAAGGTTGTAATGTCGGGTTGTGGTGAGAAAAAGGGGGTCCCCGGCGTGGTGCTTGCGTCTCGCTCGAGTACATTTTCCAAAGTAAATCGGTTAATGTTGGGAGCAAGCAAAAAGACACTGGAAGCGTTTGGCAAGGAAAAGAAGCCCAAGCAAGCGGAGGGTGTTGGAGTTTAGTCTGAAACATGATCAGAGGACTTTTAGGCCACTTGTTAAGCTGTCCTTTTTTGGGCTGTCTTTTTCTCAAAAAGGGACAACTGGCCAAAGAACCACTTGTTACGTTGTCTTTTTTTGCATTTTTGGACCTTCGAAAAAGGGACAGAAGAAAAAGACAGCGCCATCCTGTCTCTTTTCGGGCAACTTTGTGACAGGATGGGACTGTCTTTTTTTGTTGTCCTTTTTCTGTCACAACACATGACACTTGCCCACAAACTTGAATATCTCGACGGATGATCCCCGCAAACTCTAACGGTATTCGCACGAGTCGTGTCATGTGACTGGTACGGAGTCAGTAGCCTCGGCGATAGACGTAATGTTGTCATTCGGCTGAACAGGTGGACAACCCGATGTGTGCGGCAAACAAGCGGCAAACGAGCCGAAAGAGCCTGGACGCAGCAGCGGTGGGTCATTTTGGTGCACAGTCAACTTTTGCGAACCCAACTTCTGGGCGACCTATAGCGTCCTGGTCTGTATCAATCACCACACAAGACGAATCAGACGCACAGCTCATGGCGGATACCTTTGTCATCGCTGTTGCTTCGGTGTGTGACGAGGGAGCATCGATGAACCAAAGTTGCAACACGGGAAAAATAACAAAAAACGCGGCGGGTCGTTTTTCCCGCTTGTCCACCACTCTCGCGCTCACAACCTCTGACCGCCCGTCAGCCTCCTGGTCTGTATCAACCACCACACAAGACGGACCATACACATAGCTCGTGGCGGATACCTTTGTCATCGCTGTTGTTTCAGTGTGTGGCGAGGGAGCATCCATGAACCAAAGTTGCGGCATGGGCAAAAAAGAGCAAAAAAAACTGGCTGTTGGCGCGGTGGGGTTTTTCAAGGTGCTGTTGACTCTCGCCACCTCAGTTGCCGTGCCTCCCACTGCCCTGTGGTCTCGATCAGCCGCCACACAAGGCGGACCAAGCACCCAGCTCGCGGGGGATAGCTTTACAGTTGCTGATGCTTCGCTCTGTGCGGAGATATCACCGAAAAACCAACTCGGTGCCAAGGTACTTATTGTGTGACGAACGGCCGTTTCACTCGTTCCAGGGTCATTTTTTTTGGCGGATGAGCAAAAAGGATCGATCAGCACCGTAACAAGGGGTCATCGTTTTGCTAGATTATTTTTTGGTTCGTCCCTTTTTGAGAAAAAGACAGCCCAAACATTAGAGTTGCTTTCCACGAACGAACACGTCCAACGCTTTTTATACTCGCAAAATCCTAGGGAGAAGGAATTTTTGAACATATTTTCTTTGGACTTGAAGGAGAAGAGTTTGAATCCAAGCCGGGTAGCAAATCAGAAGATTACAGGATTGCGGGATAGAATGGGCTTACCACGATTGGGGCTCTGGGAAAGTTTGCATTGTATCACAGAAGAAGGCGGGAGAGCGGGGCGGGAAGAAGAGGAAGTCGGGTGGTGAGGGGAGGGGGAAATCGGGCAAGACAAAGAGGGTGGATTGATTTTGGATTCCGACGATGGCGTTCCTAAGGCACGTGATGATGTGGCGTTTCGTTTTATGATCATGGTTCAATACAACTCGGAAGTTCATGTATGTCAAACTTGAGTTTGATTGTGATGTGTCACACACACAGCGCAATTACGCTCGCCGGGTGACCGTGGCAGGCGTCTGCCAAGGATAGAGTACCCGGAGGCAGTTGAGACCAATGTAGCCAGCGTGGTGGCCACTGTAGCTCAACGTTGCCAATCGGGCCCCGTGATCAAAATATTTTTGCAAACTTGTTCCAATCAAAATCTTCGACACACACTACGGCAAAAAGACGACACAGACAGCACAATATCCGGTCAAGTTCAAAACGACACAATGCTTCCGTTCTTCACCACTTTTTGCAACAAAGCAAGCGATTCAAATCCGGTAATTGGGTCGTAGAAAAGGTACCCGAAATTCAGCGCCCGCAGAGACATCGGCCGGCCACACAACTCCGTTGATGGGTTAGTCGAAGCACGTCAAGGATTAACCCTTGATAAAAGACGTGAAAACTTGAAAAAAATCATTTCGAGCTCGGGTACGACGGCCGTCCGCTACGAGGGTTGTTAGAGAGATTAACCTCCTGGATGCCATGATCTGTGCTTTGGATTTTTTCCGTAGCTGTGCGAGATATTCAGGGCCAACACATTCACGCGGTCCTAGTGTTTCAGGATGTCTGCGTGACACCCAAAACCCTATTTCGCATATTTTTTGCTGCTGTCAAGAACCAAACTGTTGTTGAAAAAGCAAAACCCATACCTTCGTTGCGGCTACCAACACCTCGCCAAGCGGCAACAGCGGTACACAGTATTTGATGGACTGGGCGAGGGGGCCTGCAACACCCTTTGGGCAGCCTTACTTTGCCTGATTGAAGGGCGAGCGCTACCTCCATCTTCAGGGCCTAACGGCGGCCCAATGACAGCTCAATACCTTGCTGACGAGGCGGGGGGGTGCTTGCGGTGTCCATCGCGGTTGTGCCACGAAGGGGGACGGTAAACGGGTGTAAAAAACATAAAATCTGAAAAATTCCCAGAATATTGTTGGGCCAAAATAGGGTGTGACCCCTCTAATTCTTAGTAATTTCAACCAGGATTTTTTCCGTGAGCATCTTTTTGTGACCGTAGCTTTGCGACGAACCGAAGTATGGCATCGTACCCCCTTCCATTCAACATAAATGATATGCGCCCGAGCTAACTTCTGTGTCAGAGGAAGGATTAAGGATTTGCAAAGGTAGCATCGTCGTGAACTTTTTGAGCCTATCAATCACATCGAGACACGTCCACCGGTGTTTGGGCCTCCGGCAGAGCACACCTCTAGGTTCGTAAGTGGGATGGTGACAAAATCGGATCAGGTGTATAGGACCGGTGTACCCTTTTGACGCCGCCCTTGTTCCCCCCGGCTCGTGACCATCTACAAGTGGGGAAAGGCCGCAGTGCCGCATGGTCTTTTGAACTGCACCGGGCCTTTTTCAACAGCACCTCGGTTCTGGTCACATGTCTATTCAACAAAAATGTGCATCACACAGTTGCGAGCGCTTCGTCATCGAATTGGCATGCTGGCCTCCTCGCTCAGGAGGATCTTGGCGATGCGTGAGCGACCCTTGACAAAGGGGTTTCGCGAGGGTGTCACATCTTCAAAATGATGCCCAAGCGCACGATCCTGTGATCACACTTACCAAGGATATGAGAGACCGGGGGTTGCGCAAGAAGGGGCGTCCTCAACTATGGGGCGCTAAACGTACAGCTGCAGCCGCAAAAAACATCTTGGTGAAAAGCGGGGGGAAAGTTCTACAATCAATTACCCAAACTTCTCATGAGTGAGTCTCGCGCTCCACAGAAATCACACGCGAACACTAACATTTCCCACGTGCTGACATTCCTTACCCATAGACCGAGTGATTTCATCCCGTGCAAGAGATACAAGTTAAAACGAAGTAAATGCCCAAATTTTCGAGCACTCCGAAGTGTAAAAAAACAGTATGATACGACTTCACCTTTAGTAGGAAGTAAGTGTATACGCGACCTAGCCCGGTAGCCTAAAGAGCACCCGGGTTCACCAGGGCATTATAATCCCAACCCAACGCAAATCCCGTCTATCCCAAGTCTGCACTCAGTATTCCTTTTGAAACCGGGGAGGATTGGGCTCGCGTGTCTCTGGATTCTTCATGATGTTTCGCTTCCAGAACAGTTTGAAGCTTACACATTCACTGAAGTCAGAAACGCTGAGCAAACCGTCGATGTACTGCTCCTCGCCTGGTTTGTCCTCGGGCACGTGTCGACCGTTTGCCTGAGGGGGGTTGTAGAACGAGAAGGAAATGCATTGGATGCATAGCCAAACGCAAGACGGGGGAAGGCGTAGATGCCTACAGAAGAAGAACAGTGTGTAGGAGAGTTTTGTGTCTATCTGCGCCAAAGCTGGTTCAATAAATAAGTCCTGCCAGTTCGGGTAATGCGCTGGAAGCAGTTGTTGCGCATGTACATTGATGGACACAAAGCAACCGTGCCTTCAAAGATGAGACCCCGGTGGCTCAAAACAAAAAAGCATACTTGTATCATCGAACGATTTTAATTTTTTTCTATATATATTTATTAAAAACAAGGGCGTGTTCTGTACCGACGGTTGTACAAAACCTACAAAATTTTCGGTATTGTTGCGGATGTGGCACAAAACCTACAAAAGTGCTGGGGTATTGTTCTGATGGTTGTACCCGGTACCGCCGGTAGCACAAATCTACAACAAATCGGTATTGTGGCGGATGTGGCACAAAACGTACCGAAGTGCCAGTACACTTACCCTACTCGATAAAGTACCGCCGGTATGGTTCTGTAAATACAGAACACGCCCTTCAAACGAATACTATAATAGGAGCGTGCTCACTTGGCAAACCCACGCGTATCTGGTCACGTCCCTGCGCCACTCGTCCACTTGCATGTCGTACGGGTCGGTGGCCATCCAATGCATTTCGTCGTGCATATGATACCTTTGTGGGTGAAGAAGACGCACCAAGGAACAAGTGGGTATGCGCGAGGCAAGTCACACTGAGAGCGGCACATGTGGAAAAATTCAACAGACAACCCGAGTAACAAGTCCAAAGAATAGCCGATATTGGGATCGCTTGTACGCAATGCCTGTTGTGGCTCTTATAACCAGGACTGAATTTAAGTGTGTGTGACTTTCTCCACCAACTCAAAACTAAATCTCAATAGCCCCGGGTGTTTCAAGGCTGCTCGAACTCACCACAGGTAGGCGCCCATGAGATTGAAGTCAGACAGGAGAAGGGTTTGCTCTTCAAGTGTCCACGTCGCTAGCGTCTTCACACTCATACATTTGCCTCTCCGACTGGCCATGAATTCCTCGAAAGGCATGCCGTGCCGTTGCTCCATGAATCCTCGAATAGCAGGGTACCTGTGCGTGTTGCGTGTTTGCCAAAGTGAGTCAGTGGGCGCAGCGTTTTGAACGTGACAGACAGTCGATTTAATAGGAGTTTTGAACGATATATCCGCACAGCGAAGAAAAATATTGTAGGACGCTTACTACGAGAACATGAGGCCGACCACGCAAGCGTCACAACGAAGAAGGGGGGGTGTTACATTATCACAACCGTGAAAGACTAAGACTCCAAACAATTAGTTACGTTGTACAACGGACTCTCGCAACAAAAGGCGGCCAAATCATTTCACATTTTGCGGGGGTACACATGTGTGTTGAAGATGCTGAACTCGTGAACAACGTCTTCCCCCACCGCGAAGGAAGTCCCCTTCCTCCAGCACGCGGACAGTTGTTGACCTGCATGTGTACAGAAACGTTTGGTTGCGACATATGAAGCAATAAATGTCTCATACGCGGAAGTCGGATCGTTAAGACACATACCAAGTACCCATTAAAGGTACCATGTAAATTTGCTTTCGTTCACCACTGGAAAGAGTGCAAGCCAGACGCCTCCCACCCTGCCGCTCCCTGCCAACACTTAGCACCGATAGATACCCAATCTGTCTACAGCATTACAATAGCAATTGGCGAGGACGTTACGTACGAGGACACAGGCCTGTACATAGACCATGGCGCCTCTATTGCAAAGCAAGACGTATGGTGCTCAAACCGCGCAGCGGCCATCGTTTCTTATGGAAAAGCGAGATAGGTAAGCCTGACACAAAAAGACAAGAAACACGGCATGTGTGACTACAGCTCTTTACACTGTGCCCAAGCAAGAAACTATTTCAACCTCACACGCCCGACTAAAGCATTTTACCTGCAACTACCTCTTCTCGGTATCGACGGAACGGCAGAACCGGCTTTCCCCAGTGAAATATGTGGTCGTAAGTGAGAGGCTCGAAAAGGACCACGTCAGAGTCGAGGTGCAGAACGAAGTCACCCTCGCAGTACAGATCGGCTCGCAGCTGTCGTGGGCGACAGCGGTAGACAGAGTTGAGGTCGTTAATTGGTCAGAAACACCCCCATCAAGTTCGTGGGCTGTGGGTGTGTGGCGGATTCATTCCGTTTGAATGAGTACCTGGTTGTACTCTCTACACCTGGCTGTCTTGTGTACACGAATCTGTAGGCCAACGGCGGGTGGAAGAGAGTTCATCGGGGGCTGGCTCAAACGTCGCGACCTCACTGTCGACAGTATCAACGATCTGCTGTTGTGCAACTACCTGGTACTTTTTTTACATGTACCGAAGTCTTTCTTTTCGGAACGAACCTGTTGAACACACGATTGTTCCACCGTGCTTCGTGGACGTGGAACTGTCGCAGCTCTACAACAACAATGGTGACTGCCAGGTTTATCATGGATCAACTGGGCTCGATGAACCCACATACGCCCGTCTAGTCCCTCCTCCACCCCGACCAACGTAGCTGGTGGGAACCAGAAACTGAAGCATCTCTCGGTTGACCCGCCAGGCACATGAGCTACGTCTACCCCTGGCTGTGCCGCCGTGTGGTACCTGGGTAACGCAGAAAGACAGCGCGCCAAACCGCCACACGTACTGTACCTTGGAGTACTTCTGCTGGATGTGACCGTCCATAATGTTGGGCTCGGTGACAACGCGGATGGCAAAAGGGGCCGTCTTTTGATGCGGCTTGATAATTTCCTCGAACAGCTTTCCATCCGACTCTTCCACGACAACCACTATTTCCTTGGCATCTGGGAAATATCGGGACACCTGTCGTGCGCACATTGACGTGAACGAAAGCGGCGTGTTTGAATTTTGTAACAACCGTGACGGATGCGTGATATTTTGCTCGCTGGCGAGGGTTGCCGTACACCAAATGAACAAATGAGTGGTCGTGCGTCGTGTTCAATGGTAGTGTGCTGTTCAGCCGTGAGATACGCAGCTGCTGTTTTGGGCTTGGTAAAGCCACGACAACCCCGTGCGAACGTGCGGCTGATTTTGACCGCGGGTCTGAGCGATTGTATTTAAGATGTCCTCCACAGCTTATCATGGTTAGTGCTGGCACACGTACAAACACCGTAAATCTAGGAAATTTACGGCAGCATGTCAAGTCGTGTCATGAGACACCTATGTCATAACGTACCGTGGGAAGTGCGACATTGAAGAGGACGGCGTCTCCGACAAATGTTCTGAACATCACGCTGATGTTGTAGCCCTTGAGGCTCGGCATGCGTTCGAGCTTTGTCCTTTCGTTTTCCGTGGGATCAGGTGACATCAGCGGGCCGAACTCCCAGTTGGGCTTCGTGTTCAGGTGCTTCTTGTGCATCTTTACAAACCCACGCTCACATCTGCATTGAGAGGTTGTTCAACGCAATGTACAGTAAGGAGCGGCCTGATGTAAAGACACGTCTTTAATAAGAAAATAACGAAAATTGTAATTGATTTTAAGGAATAATAAAAACACACACAGAAATACTTTTTTAATGTTTTCGAGAAAAAAGAAACTCTGTGAGAAACGGTGCTTGTGTAGTCTTAGTTTTGTGCAACCGAAAAAGGAATTCAACCAGTCTTCTCCCTGATATCACTGAGGATGAATATCGCGCCAACGATGGTTAGACACAACTTGTACAAGTGTGAGTTTCACTATCGCTCAAAGCGCTTGAGTCAGCGAAACACTGAGGATATCTCTAACATACGCCCTGAATGAATGAATACTTCCCACACGACGTTTGGCGGCAAAAGAGCACGCTGGCATGCAGGAACAGCACTTGGGACGGCGGCGAGGCCGCCCAGATATACATGAGGTTAATGTAAACTTAATGCGCTCCCACAGCTAGGTATGTACGTCCAATAGTACAATAGCTTCCAAAACAAGTGGCGTGTCCACTTGTGAAGTCGTACCTTGCGCCATGGCGGAAACTGTCCACCCACTTGCGAATCTTCTCGGCGACGTCCAAGCCTTGCAGCGACGGTTTTATGTCCAGCGCGCAGCTGAAGTGAGGTTTCACGAGTGGGATATCCCAAATGGACTTCTCCTCGAAGAAGTGGTGGTGGGTCCACTGTTGTTGTGCGTTGACAACACATTTCACGATCGGGCGCGGGCGGTAGAGATAGAAATGACTGATGAAATGCTCTACTAGTACGACACGAAGCTTCTGCCCACCGACACGTTTCTACAAGGCTGTACATAAGCCACATCGAGAGCATTAATGGTGTCACTCTCTCCCTTTCAAGTACACGTTCCACGTCCAAGAAAAACCGCAGACAATAACTTGCTTTTCGTCCTCGAAATGACCCCTCTATTCAATTACGTCAGTAGTGGCAGAACTGTCAGTATGCTCCCTCTACAAAACTTGAGTACATACATAAATACCTGGTGCCATAGCGTGCGTACCTGTGTGGGGTTATGGAAAACTACGCCTTCGGTATTTCTTGAGTACGACAGGGCGGCCAAGAGCTGTCAACAGAAAAGAGAAAAAACACACAACAGACGGTGGCGGGCAGTGTAGGAATTACTATAAGTAGTGCCGGGTGATTCTCATCAGCTTACGCAATGGCTAAAAATTTGGTTGCTACAGCATGTTTGCCTGCAGGAGCACATCAGACATACAAGTTAAGCTGAGTCTTTGAGATTGCGATATGCTGCAAGACATGGGCAGCGACAGCACAAAAAGCGCATATCATTTGACGGCGGACTCGAACTGCTTGACGGTCTGACACCTAGATGACTGCAGTGATGATGGTCGTAGTATACCTCCGGAACGTAGACCCTAGTGTGAAGCTGATGGATACTGGCCGTCGCCACAACGTAGTCCCGCAGAAGGGTCTGCTCCTTTTCCTCATTGTCTTCGGTTGGTGGAGCTTCCTGATTCTTCAACGGCAGGGGCGAACGCACTGCACCGTCTGCAAGCGGTGAAGATGCAGACAGGAGCACCTGATGGGCGGTACATCCGATTGGGACAAGCCGAATTGCATCAGGCCACCATGAACGCCCGAAGTTCGACAGTAACAATTGTCGTGTTGTATGAAAGCGTGCCCGGGAGTGTGAATGACAAAAATTGATTTCGGTGGTTCGTGCTTTGAGTCGCATAATAACAAGCGTGCGCCACCTACTAAATGTAGGAGAAGAGGCGCTCGTTCCTGACAAAATGCCAGTCATTTCCGTTTTGTTTGATGGCTCTCAGAACTCTTGGGTCTTTTACGTCGACACATCTCACCTTCCTTAGCTCCGCGTTCGTGTCAGCCGGTAAAATCAGATCCGTTCCGTACGTGAACGACGGGGCGTTAAAGCCTGCATGTTTCGTGGTGAAGGAGGACGAATGCGGCCGCGGCGGAACGAAATCGACAGTATGCAAGCAAAAGCCAGAGTAACGGCGCGGCGCGTGCTGTACAACAGGAAGTTTGACCCTGTCAGATCGCGGGACCTGGACCAAAATACGAAGCACGTTGAATGCTCATTCGCGTTACCAACATATGAGCTGGCCCAACATGGAGAAGAGCGTCGCCTGAAGATGGGTAGGGTTGATGGAACGCCTTGCTGTGGCACTATTTCTGCTTGTTTCCAGTCGATGTTCTTCATTTGAGTGGGAAAGAGGTCATTCAGCCGATGTATCCACGAAGGGTTCGCCCTCAAGCGATCTGCACCACAAACTCACCAAGAATCAGCGTCGAGATTGTGGCACGAAGGGCGTTGCTCGTCTCCAGTTTGTTTACCTTTTTTGCGAGGGGGGACCGGGGGCAGCGGGAAGGTGTATGAATGGATTGCCATTCGACCAGTGACGACGGCGACCACCCGGGGTGGGAAATAACCATTTATTGTCGGAAGCATGAACGGGGCAAACCGCTGTCCGGAACACCAAACGGCCTTAACAAGCATGATCGGTGAAACAGCGGCGGAGATATGGCACAGGTGCACCGAAGGTTACTGGTACAGGAAGGTTTGTTTGTCGAAGCAGATAGAATAAACTGGTGTTTATTTTGTAACAGTCGAATTAGAATTTGGCTTCATATTCTACCGGAAACCCAGGGTCACGGTGTTTGGAATTATTAGTCTATAGTTGGGGGTGTCATTCCGTGATCGAGTCCACGCAGGGGCTGTAGCAAAGTCGGGTAACGTGTGACAGCTACAGAGCGCGTGAAGCAACGGAAGGACAGAAAACAAAATAAACCTTTACATAATTTGAAGAGCTGCCTAGGATTCGTATTTTCGCTGTTTCCAGAGTACGCGCACCTCGGTGTAAGACACTAATAGATCACCCCTTGCCGAATGCGTGTCCTTGGAAGTGAACTCTCGGCTCAGCACCTGGCCCGGAGACATGTAGTAGATAAGCTTGGTACCGTTGCCGCACGCTCTATCAGCGTGCAAGGCAGCAAAATCGACGTATGAGCTGTTCCAGACATGAACACCAGTGCGCTGTCCAACAGTTCTGTTGCCACGAGATGCAACAGGGGTGTAGGGGGCGGGCGACGGGGACATGTGTGCGTGCGGTGGGAGGAAGGCACGTTGTTGACGTTCAAAATTGTGCCGCTTCACAGGGTGGTGAAATTCTGGTCACGCCCCGAAATAAACGATGTATCTTGTTCTGCGCCAGACCTGGTGGTGGCGACTGCAGTGGCTTGAGAGCGGGAGCACACCCAACGGTTGGTGGGAGCACCTTCGACGATTGCGAGATTATATCTCGTCCACGGCAAGGCTGTGAACTTTACGGCAAGTCTTGCTCGCCGTGGTGCGTTGTGCACTTATACCCGTCGCGATGTGACTAACTGCAATAGTGCACGTTGTTGGCAGCTTTCTTACCTGTTGTACACGTGGAAGTCGATTATACCCGTCGCGATGGACACCCGTACGCCCGGCATAAATCCAAGGACGCTATTCACGGTTTGGTTCGTTTCCCCTAGATATTCCAGGTACCCGGGCACGAAGACACATATTTCGCCTCGCGCGATGTCCTTAGTGAGAAGAAGCTCCCGTGGGTCATCACCCGTAGCATCCCGCAGTTCGGCTAATAATAATTTACAGCAGGTAAGAAGTGGACGGGTGGAGGGGGTGCTCTAATGCCTTTAGGTTTTGCAGTAGATTCGTGTGTAGTATGGTGGCAATATCTCGTGATCGTTCAACCACTTTATCTTCACAACGCACAACAGAACCGATATTAGAACACAGACATCTGACTTCAACTAACCTCACGAGGTGTTTTGGACCCAAGCCCGCTTTGCTACTCGTACTACTCCCTTTCTATCAAGACTACACGCAGGGTACGTGCGCTAATGTTCATCGATAATTGTTAGCGGAGTGTGTCACCAGCAAAAGGTACGATAAATGGTCATGGGCTGGGCCTCGACATCAATGAGCGATACCGGCAAGCATTCAAGGTGTGCACGGCGAGCCCGCTTTCACTACGCAGCGCAGGAAAGGACAGGCCCGTTTTGCAGTATTGGGCAGCAGTGGCGATGGTCCTTTCTCACCACCGACGAAAAAAAAGTGTTTGTGGTACTTGGATATAAGTCCGATCTGTGCATCCTCTGTGGGGGATACGCGTATTGGAAGTATGGGTGTGAGGGTATGTGTGCGGTTGTGGTCCAAGTGCGAGGCCCCCGGGAGCACACGGCGGTCGGTGTGCTCCCGGCACTTGCCTGAGGGGCTTGCGTGTCGAATACCAGCTTGCCTGAGGGGCTTGCGTGACGAATATATACAATACACGGTCCTTTTTTATCAGCTGTTCCTGGGATAACATAGTCCCCAGTCTCAACACCACAGACCGCTGAGGGCGGCAGTGCGCTAACAAAAAGCACAAACAAAACCACTGCTGGTAGTAGTCTTCTTACAATTTATGTTTTCTCTGAGAACGCTTCATTTCGCTTCTTTCGGCTTCGTGAGCCCTCTATTCCGGTCTTCTCGGGCTCTCACAGAGCAGCATTTCCTCTGGAAATTTGGCACTTTCGTGGACTTTCCACTTTTTTTTATCTTCCGCTTTTATCTCTCTCGCCTACTGCTGTCACCCCGCTCTGTACCGTCATACCACGCATTCCACTAGAAGTACGGCCCTCTCTGTGTGTGCCTCCTTCTCCTCCGTTCCTCCGTCTCTCTATGTCTCTGACGGTCTGTCTATCCACATTCTCTTTTTATTTTCGCCTTCTCTCTTGACCGCTCTTGCGTCGGAATGGTCTGTGGTTTGTTCCGAATCCGTGTGCTACTACTAGACTACTGCTGTACATTTTTTTTTCTTCCAACACCTTCACACGGTATGCACTCACCTCCTCTCGCCTTGGTACCGTATTCTCTCTCTCTCTCTTCTCGGTGTGTGTGTGTCTTACTCTCTCTCTCTCTCTCCTCTCGGTGTGTGTGTGTGTCGTCTGTGTATCCACGTTGTCTCTAATTTTTTGCTTTTCTCTCTTCACCGCTCTCGCGTCGGAATGGTCTGTTGTTTGTTCCGATTCTGGCAACCAACGGTCGGTGTTGTGTACTCCGGTTCCGATAATACGATAATACCTTCTAAAGCTCCGGAAAATACGAAAATACACTCCTTTTTACCTCCACTCTCGATGGCTACCCCGACCCACTCCTCCCACTCCTCTCTAGCTACTCTAAGACTTCGCACTCCTTCTGTTACTTCGCACTCCTCCTGTAGTCTTCGACTCCATGTCTCGCCGCCATCTCTTCGACAACTCCCCCGCCCGAGCATCCCCTGCCGCGAAGCGTACGTTCATTTTAACAACATCCTACACCCACTTTCAGAGGAAACACTACCTTGGAATCGCTTCAAATAAAGCGGGGGCGCGCAGCGCCCAAAACCTTGTACTATAAACGATTTCGCTTGAAACACAATCGCAAATTTCTGTTACATCGACGCATGTAAGCAAAAACGTGGAACAGTCACTGAAACGAACGGACTCTACAAGCTACAAGCGGAAACAGACCAATGCCTAACATCCAGAAAAAAAACGAACTGAACGGCAACCTCCCCGGTAGAGCACTAGAATCCAACCCCCAATGAGAAAAGGGCCTACTCTCTCACCTGCAAGGAAGACTTCATCGTCTGAGCTACTGGATGAAGACTCGTTGTCAACGGTGTCGCCTATCAAAATTGACCGCGTTGAGCTTCCGATGACTGGAGGTTCGTGCGTATTACACCTGTGTATAAAAAAAACAGGACGTCGTAGATCTAACTGACCAGATGGTTCGAATGGAAGCAGAGACTCATCATGAGCTTGATTATGGCACAGACGTGAGTGATTTTTGCCTGTTTTCCCGACATAGCAGGGCTACTGTCCGAGGCACTACAAAAACAGAACTTTATTATTCACTTAAAGGTTTCAAGGAGTGGGAGTCTAACTTTCTAGTAGTGGAAGTTTGTCGTGAAATATACGATTGTCGCCAGGAAACAAGTGCACCTCTGTTTGTGGACATGTTTGGAATAGGTCCGTCCATTACTCCCAAGTCGGTTCTTTCAAAAACTCCGCCAGACACTTTCGATACGAATCGACGTGAAAAATTCAACGTTGCTAGAGCAATGCTAGAGCGCAAATGAGTGCAGAGCAAGGGCATGCGGCACCATGCTCACGGTGGACGGTACGGGCAGCAATCGATTATACGTTAGTCGCTTTGACTCAAAAGTGAGTAGTTTAGACTGCATGCGCACGCTACAGAAAATAAAGTCGCAAACATTCACGTTGACGTTGATCGACCAAAATGGACTCCTCGCTCTCAAGGGCTGACATTGTTGGCTGAAACCGTCCACAACAGACATAATGTCGCCTGTACGATGCCATATGCAGATTGACTTCCCCCTCCCGACCCTCGGCTAGGTCGTGCTACGTTCTTACATGATCACCCGGCTGCCTCGAGCTGATGCGATCTCGTCTGCGATTCTTGCAGGTACGTGCTCGGTGAAACAGAACCGACAGGTCTTTCCGAGCGCCCTCCAGTTGCAATGCAGGTCTTGGTAATGGTTGGTGCCGCATCTCTGATCGCACACCTATGAAAAGATTGAAACGCTGTGGTTGTTGCTGGGTTTGTCGTTGCAAGACGGCCACATATATGGATTTTGTTGACCGTCATTCATCAAATGAAGATGGTGCCGATTCATCATATCGACCACCCTTGGCGCTGCAGGGGTTACGGTGAACACAAAATGAAAAAGCCGCGGCCGGCATTTCGGTTGAAAGGTATGCGTGTACAATCGTATCCTCGACGACGCACGATGCATGTACAAACAAACCTTCATGTAACTCGTGAACCAACCTTCAATTTTATAGCCTTACCACTGTGTTCTAAAGTAACCACACTTCACTCAACATACATAGTCCGTCTAATAAACTTCGGGCGCTCACATCTACGGTGCATGTCGTAGCCGACTATTTGACAGCATGCCCGTCTTGAGCCCACCAATCCTTTTATCTTGAGTATGACAATAATACTGAGAGCTACTGACCGGAATAACTGAGTCGTTGGGCAGGCCTCGTCAGGGTACAACTTGTGGAAGGGGTCACGCGATTCAGTAGGGCCACACACTACAGCTTCTTGCAACATGATTCGGCATATGTAAAACCCAGAGTGCTTTTCCGTGTCACCGATTGGATTAGGGTTCACCCGTGTAAGGGGGACACACGCGATTGCCCGATAAACCACAGTCGCCTGCAAGTACCAATAGAGCTGATCCGCTACGGGGATGACGTTCCTCTCGACTGTACACTATTGCGAAGGTCCAGCGCTGACCGTGTCACCGACAAGCTCACCGTGTCTGTTTTCTTGGTGCACTCTGGGGTGCACTCAAGTGCTTCCGGTGGACGCTTGGTGTCACACATGATCACGTGCTTCCTGATGCTCTCGCTCCCGCCTCCATCGTATCGTTTGCCTGTTGAAGTGTTCGCTACGGTGGTCACCTTGTACTGCTGCGCAAGTTCTCGGTCTGCCCGTAATGCTGTCGCTCGGTCGGTGTAACACAGCCGACATTGGTCGCCGAACAAGGTGGGGTCGCCTGGAATGTTTTAGTCGTCGATGTGTGGGGGGAAAGGAAAACTGTGAACATGTTGAAAAGGAAGCTGTGAAATATCGAGGGTCTCCTACAAAAAACATCTAATAGTGATACGTTAACATTGCACTACTAATCTTCCAACTGGAGATAACCCGTTCACCACAAAGTCGGTTCCATTATTGAATCGACTCAAGTTCTCGTTTGGCAGATTAAATGTCAATCGTAAGATCCATTATTTCCGGTTAACGACAGAATTTTCTCAATCTTTCACTTTTTTTGCGGTGAAAGAAAGACCTGTCGGTTCAACTGCAAGACAGGGATGTCCTGTTACAGTTCCTAGATCGTACCCAGTATCAAAAAGAAACAATGGTGTGCTGGGAGTGCATTGCGTCATCATCCATATATATGAAGTGCTGAGCGAAGGACTGCACTACACATTCGAGCCACACCCACGTCTTCCTGCGATTAACGAACGGCTTCTGGATACACACTCGTTTCTACCGGAAAATTTGAGCTAGCTGCGAACAGAATCAAAAGGGGGCGGCTTGCTAGGTTCGAAATGTTCCCGGACAACGAGCGCAAATCGTTGTCTCCCCCTCCGAAACACTACAGTATTTAACTCGTTCCTTTCTCATGCTCTTGTAATACCTCGTAGCACCACGTTTTCGAAAAGTCTGGACTTTTCAGGCAGATGGCAGGGCATCGCCTTTAAGTGCGCAGTTTCGAGAAACTGAGACTGACATGCCCATGTGACACCCCACGCTATAAGGTGAGAGCTGCTGTAGACAGAACAGAAGAACACGTTTGCACTACATTTAGCGAAGTAGGAAGGGACGATTGGCCATCGGCGATCGGTCGTGTGAGAACAATGCTCCGTGTTGA